CCCTTTTTATTTCTTTGCAAAAAGACTCGTTCACGTCCCAATTTTTTTCTTTATCAAACACCATCACATCTAAATTCAACATGGAATGACACTCGTTTATCTTATTTACCTTCCTCTTTAATACCTTGAATGAGCTTATTCGCAAATAAATTAAAAGGTGAGGTGAGAAAATATCTTATCAATGATATCTCATTAGTCTAAATAGGAAAGGTTTTGGCGCTCAAGCGCCAAAGGTTTCAGTGGTCCTGAATTTTAGTCCCCTCCTCCAGAGCGCGGAACATTCGCAAAGTTAGTGTCTCATTGATTCAGACTCTTCCTCATTTTGCAGTAGAGAGTCAGCGGGTCCCGGAACGTTTTTGTTTCCATGCGAAAGATTTGTATTTTGTTTAAGGCAGTGGTTGGCGCACAACAGGTGAAGCCCATTCTGAACCGCGAATTTATATAAGGTGGTATCGATTCAACAAATGCAACAATTACTTGTATTTTGTTTTTGCTTTGAGCGGACCATTGTAAAGTTTCAGCTATTCTTCCCCGAAGGAAAAGGTTGACAGAAAGTATAAACACTCTCACGTTTTCACTCACTCGCTAGCCAAATACAAAATTTTGACAATCACACGCTACTCACAGCTGATGAAACAACACCACCTTATATAAATTCGCCTTGACCTGTACACTCGCTTTTACATAACATAAAAAGTACATGCAACCATTTTTTTATTTTTTGTAGCACCGTGTTATTTGAAAAATTCTGGCTGGGGCTAGTCAATTAAATTTTGCAGAGTGTACGGGGCTGGTCCCAGAAGTACCCGACCTAACAAAGAAAACACAAAAATTTTAGGGAAAGAACTGTCTTGCTCCTCAAAATAGCCATCAACTGCCGACATCACTTCATCGTCGTTAGAAAATCTTTGACCACGGAACCATTTTTTGAATTTTGAGGACTGAAAATAGTACGAGGGGGCGGATCTTTTGCGAATGCGAATATTGAAGGGCCCGAAAATAACAGTTAATTTTTTTTACGAGTTAAACTTTGCCAAATATTTTTTATTCCCAACTAAAAGTCCTTTCCGGACAATAAACAAACCGCTTATCCAAATTAAACAAGTTTGGTACCAATTGAAAGAGGACTTAAATAGCTTTAAAACTGAAATGTCTAAACGAGCAAAGCCACCTATTGAAAAGTAGTTCAATAAAAAATGTTAATTAATTACCATAGAACAAACCTTGGGTCAGGTATATGAATTTCTTTAGTATTAAATTATATAAAAAAATATAAATAGAGGTGGTAACCTTCGTTCGTTATATCTGTTTAAAAGCTATTTCAGTCCTCTTTCACATGATATTAAATTTGTTTAATTTTCATAAGCTGTTTGTTTATTATCCAGATAAAACTTTTATTTCGGAATAAAAAATTTTAGGCCAAGTTTAACTGGTAAAAAATAACTGTTATTTTCGGTCCCTGGAATATTGTGTAAGTGCACTGATAAAACGTATATCTGGCCAGTCACAGAAGAAAGTATTAAAAATGACTTACAAAAACTAATATCGAAAAACGCTGTTAACGTTACAGGTTCTTTAAATTAAGAAACAACCAAAAGAATGAGAATGAAGAATTCTTCGGAAAACAACGGTGTTTAAACAACGATGTTGCCATGATACTAGATTGTGACGATGAAAGTCAGGGGGATACATCCGACATTTGCAGCCCGATGCAATTCTCAAAAAAAAATTATTGCACCGCAATAAAAAAAAAAAAAAAAACAATAAATATAACTGAAAGTCCTTTCGACTGGTGCAGTGTCAATCGAAAAGAATTTACAATTTTGTCCAGTCTCAAGTTTTTCAAGTTTTTCGCCTCGAGCGAGCAATTATATAGCGGCCCTGATTTACGACCCATTAAAAACTTTTTACTGGATACAATGTTCCAATTACTAACCTTTACATTTTTTATTTAACTAAATCACCTAATTTATTCATCTAAATTATTACTTAACAAGTAAAAAAGTTAAGTTCGGGCGAAGCCGAACATTAAATACCTGGCGCAAGTATTCAATATAGTTTTTTCAGCTTTCCGAAAACTACCGCTACATGGTAAGCAGGGGTGCGGTTACCCTATTTTAAACATCTTCGATAGAACGTTCAGTTAGATATAATCAGATAAACTTATATAGATATATGTGGGCGGCATCACGCCCAATTTCCAAAATTCAATAATAATGTTACTTTTCAAAGGATTGTTTGGGTCAAATTAGCGTCCTTAAATCTCGAAATATCGAAGTTTCAAACATTTCTGAAATTGACCGGTATGAAAAAGTGGGCGTAATTTTAGTCCGATTTCGATAACTTTCAACGCTTTGCCTTTATGTGGCAACCACAATAATCATTTCGAGTTTGGTACACATTGATCGAACGGTTTACGAGATACACATATATGATGTAATTGGGCGGGGTCACGCCCATTTTAGAAGCATTTTATTATAAGCGTATTTTTTGTTAAAGAATTATTGCAAACATCAATCTTGAATAAATTAGCTCCAGTATTTACTGATTTATCGAAGCTTTCGTATTTCTCTAAATTGCCGTTATATGGGATGTGGGCATGGTTATTATCCGATTTTTTAAATTTTCAGCCGTTTGGTATGTTTTGTGAAGGCCAACAACTGTGTGAAGTTTGGGAGAAATTGGCGGAGCGGTTCCCAAGGAATACTACACGTCCATTTTCCAAAAATTTATAATATTCTTATTTTTGATTGTAAATATAAGTTTCGAGTGAATAAGCTTCAGTAGTTAGTAAAATATCGCAATTTTCGTATATCTGAAAACTACCGTTGTATGAGAGGTAGGCGTGGTTATCGTCCGATTTTGCCTATTTTCAATACCATCCGTCCTACGCTCAAAAGAAGTTCACATACCAAGTTTCGTTAAGATATCTCAATTTGTACTCGAGTTATCGTGTGCACAGACGGACGGTCGGACGGACAGGCAGTCACCGCTTAATCGATTTCTCTTTTCATTCTGATCATTTATGTATACATTTGCCTATATCTATTTCGATTCGTTTTGCCTGTTACAAACAACCGTTATGTGAACAAAGTTATAATACCCTTGTGCGCAAGTGCGCTCGTGTATAAAAATACTTGACATCCGCATTCGCATCCGCATCCGCGGATGTCTAAAATTTCACATTCGCAACATCCCTGGTCTATAATTACACACCTGTCCATTTTATTTAAACATCAAAAGCTCCTCAGCATTCCAGTAAAATGAGAAATTTATGATGTAAAGATAACTACGAATAAAGCGAGAACGAGAAATTTTATTTGTTTTTCAAACAAAATATTTGAACAAAAATCTATCGAAATTTAAAATAAATGTACCTTTTTACCAATCAACTTTTTTCTATAAATTTTGGTAATAATTTACCAAAGGGACAACCGTGGTGCTGATAGTGGTGACGCCGATTCGATGACGTCCCAACAAACAACAAAGATGAAAAATAAACCTACTTGCGTGATTTTCAATTAATCCATAAAAATAAATTAAATTGATAAGTTGGACAAATAAATAATTAAATTTATTTGTGGTTGGATTCTTTGACTAAATAAAATATTAAATTTATTTGTGATTTGATTCGTCGAACACATATAAAACAAATTTTATTTGTGATTTGATTTGTAGGGCAAATTGCATAATTTTTTCCGTGATTTTCCATAAAAAAAATACGTTTTTCATTGAACGCATTCACGATTTTCGAGTTTTTGCTGAACAAGTAAAATTAATATTTTATTTCTCCGACAAATCAAATCACAAATAAATTTAATTTTTTATTTGGTCGAGGAATCAAATCACAAATAAGTATTTTTTTTTTGTATTCGTCCAACGAATCAAATGCCAAATAAATTGCATTTCTTATTTCGTTGGCTAATCAAATCACAAATAAAATAATTTTTAATAAAAAACTTTATTTCTTATTTGGTCGACGAATCAAATCACAAATCAAATTTATTTTTTATCTGGTCAATTGATCAAGTAGATTTTTAATTAAAAGTGGATTTAATATCAAAAGGATTTTAAATCAACACTGAAAATAAATATATTGATTTTCAAGATTTCTATACCATTTCTACAAAAACTTGTTTTCCCCATATCAAATACAGGGAAAACTTTGAGCGCTTTTAGCGACCTCTAAATATATTTTGATTTCAAAATAAAGAAACAGGGGTATAATGTTTTTCGCCATAGAACAATTCTAAGGGGTGAGAGCATTACAATTCCGACTTTACTTTTTTTTTGACCCCCCTAATGTACATACGTAGAAACGAAAACAAAGTTTTTATGCTTGTTATAAAAAAAAATTGGTCAAAGGATAGCAATTATCTGTGTTTTTCCCCTATTTGGACCTGTTTTTTATAAAAAAAACGCAAAAATCCGGTTACGGTTTTTTTCGGAGCACAAAACCCCACTGTGCGGCGTCGCCGTCGCCACCGCTAAGCCTATGGGCGTAAACCTCTAGTATGTAGTACCCATTAATATGTATGTACATACATACATATGTATGTATGTAGTGTCACTAATACCTTATTCGATATTCTAATAAGAATATTGTAGTTTTGCACTAACTATTAACCAAACTTGTATTGGATTTTGGTCTAATTTGAATAAACACTCATTTGTACGTACACACAAACTCTACATACATACATATGTACATCTTCGTGTATCAAATGTGATTTTATGAGTACTACAAATAAATATTAGCCCACACGCTTAGAATTCCCATAATGTTTTTGACGCACAAGGGGCACCAGTTTTAAGTGGCTAATTTCAGCTTAAGCACAAAAATTTATGCATGGATTCGAGTACATATATGCATACATATGTATGTATGTATGTATGTACGTGCAAAGAAATATTAAACTCGTGCATTTTCGCCCCCACGACCATCATTTGCACACACCATTACCCTTAAATTTTTACTAACTATTGTTGTTTTTGTTTACCTTGAGTGGACTTTTCCTCAGAAATTTGTTGCGCCTTCAAACGTTGATCAATCACATAGAGCATTTCGCAGCCCAAGTTGACCAGTAGAAAGATGTTGGCGCGCGGATTGCATTGACGGCTCAAGGACGCCATGGTGGGAACGTTAGACGACTTAAATAAACAAAGTAATCGCCAGCCAAAACAGCAGCTAGAGGCGCGCAAAGTAAACGTATAAAACTTCTTTATGTTGAAGACCAAAAACGGAAAAAAAATTATTTAAATTTTCTTAACGGTTATCGGCTGCCTATATATGTACATAAAAGATTTACCGCGATAACACACGCTCGCTTGCTCTAAATTTGCACGTTTGAATTTCACGAATACACAATTTAGCCGGAGAGCGCAACGTCTAGCACGCTAGCGATCCAACTGAAGACTAACTCAATCAGAACTATGTAGGCGCATACTGGAGTCAATTTTGTTACACAAGCGCCCCCACACCGGCATCAGCCGCCTATTATAAACACACACACACACTCACTCCTCAACTAAACACATACAAAGATACAAACATACATACGCCAGTTCATCGAAGTGGAGTGTGTTCGCTGTTGTCACTGTTTTCATTGCCGGTTAGCGCGCGCGCGCGCGTGTACACACACAGCTCTTTGCCCCCAAAAACGCTGGAGGCGGCGTCGAATGAGTGCGCTGGAGACATCGACGCGCGCGCTGACGCTAGCGTTTGTGTGTGCACTTCTTCACCGAGTTGGAGCTTTGCAGGACAATTAGTGGAAGCAATATCGCTCGCTAGCTAGCAAACAAGTGAACACAAGTCAACGTCAGTCAGTAAGGCATTCGGACAGTCAGTCAGTCACTCAGGTAGTAAAATAGGCAAAGTGAACAAGGCATTTACTTGCATATCTAGTACCTGCTGAGTAGTACTTTAGTATGTGGGAAAATATGAATTTCTTATGCAGAGTACTAAGTTTAATGGTACATATACATACATACATACATATGTATATATGTATGAATATAGAATAATCTTGTTTTTATTTTAGCCAAATTTTTGTGTTGACTAACTGCATGGCACGCGAGAGCTGCATTTTAGGCTGGCGCTCGCATTCTTAAAAGCGGCACTTCGTCTTTTCGATTCATTATTTGGTTTTGAGAGTACATATGTATTTCTTTTTGGCGGTGGTAAGGAAAGGTGTAAGCGCCGGAATGTATACTAAAATATACATATAAATACCCATTTTGCCGACTATGCACACACACAGACCTACGCGCATTTATGTACCTATACTTGTATTTGAATGTGCATACAGTTAAAAAAAAAAATATTTTTTAGCTAGCGGTAAAATGCAGTTGAGACGAGACTAGTAGAAGAGCTCCACGTAAACATTGAACTATAAATATTTTTGTATGTATGTACGTTAATAATATTAGGTTGGTCCGAAAAAGTCAAGTCGGTATTTTGATGCTCTCACCTCCTAGCATTGTTCTATACAGAAAAAAATTATAACCCTGCTTTTTTAGTTTAAAATCAAAAAATACTTAGAGAGCACTCAAAGCGCTAAAATTTGTTCATGTATTTTATATGGCAAAAAAAAACAATTTCTCGCAGAAATGGCATGGAATTCTTGAAAATCAATATTTTTCGATTATAAAACTATGTTTTCGACTATAAACTATTTTTTGATTTCAAAAAAAAGGAGTATACATTTTTTCGGTATAAAACAATCCTAGCGGTGAGAGCATTAAAATTGCGACTTAGCTTTTTTACATGCATTTCTGGACCACCCTAATGTGCATACATATATAGTTAGATAAGTAAGGAGCTAAAGACAGCTGAGCACTACTGCATTCGCGGCAAAGTCATAGTCATAGTAGTGAAAGTTATTGATCCACCGACGATATTAGCATGTGTTCCACAACAATACATTTACTACATAGGTATTTATGTATGTAAATATGTAAATAGATATTTTAGTAAATATGCACATTAGACCGTCTAGAAAAAAATTTCTCCGTACTCCGCTTAGTTTTGCAAGGCAATTTCGAAAAAAAAATGTTTGGCCGACCGTACGGTCGCTCCTTTACATTTTGCGTCATATCTTCAGCATTTACAGATGGATCTTAAAGTGTGATATATCGATATACATGTCTCGGAAATTTTTTTGTTCTAAAGTTTATCGGAGTTTGGGTTTGGAGTTTGCCAAATTGCGAAAATAAGTGTCTTGGCAATTGCTGTAGTGTCATAAAGAAATGCTTTTGTATAAAAACATGCTGTAAGGGGTTTCTTCGTCAAATTTGCTTAGAATTACACATAGAATTATCCTATGCTATACGCGCATAGTCCAAAAAAAAAATGGCCCGCCCTAACGTACATACAGTGACGAGCAAAACTGTAACATGGTGTAACACTTTTTATTTCAGCCACCGCTATATTTCCAAGTTCTAACGGCTTTCATCCTTTTGTTGTATATTCCTGTTGGTACATCGCTACTCCCTCTTTCATAAGGATTTGAAGTCAATACAACAACAATAAAAAAAACAGCAGACAAAAATGTAAATTAAGGCAGATGTTACAGTTTTGCACTCACTCTCAGTTTTGCATTTGACAGTTATCTCTTACTTAGTCGGAAGTCAGATGACTTTTTTCTATATTGTATTGTATTGAAGAAGTGATCACGAGTAAATAACATAGTTAATCAGAAACCATAAATGTAAATAATAGATTTACTGTGGAAAGGCGGGACCGCACGAAAAGTGGCAAACAATTTTGGAATTTGCTACTTAAAAATGTTAAGACTGAGAGCAAATATAGCCTGATGTGTTCCCAAGGACAAAGGAAGTCTGTCAAAAAATATTACGGTACGATATCTTGTGAACTTAGCAGCAAGCAGCGATGCAGCCACTATTACAGAAGCGCTTAAGGTATTAAACTTTAATGCAAATCAATAGACAGCAAGGCGAAGAATTGCCAAATTGAGCGCAAAGGCATCATAAAGAAGAAAAAAGCAAATTTGTGCATAATACATGTGCGAGTGTGGCAGCATTTCGCTGCATCGCACGAAAACCGAACCGTTGCCTATTGGGATATGTTAGGCCTTACAGAATGCAATAAAATAACACATTCTTATGTTTCAATTGAAGGTTATTTGGTCTGACAAGCCTAAATTAATCGCTTTCAATCAGATGGCCGGGCATGGTATTGGATCAAAGACCCAAATTAAGCCCATGCGCATTATGTAAGGAAAACTGTGAATCACAGTGGTCGGTCAATAATAGTTTGGGGTTGTATTTAAAAAAAAGTTTTTGTCCGTTAGTACGTATTATGCGTAAGGAACAGTATCTGTTCATATTTCAACAAAATTTGCAAGGTCTAGTCGAAAAAATGAGAGTTTCTGCTGAAAAATCACTCAAAACACATTGCACATGTTCACAAAGCCTGGATACAAAAGCAAAAATTTGCTAATTTCAAATGACCTCCACAATCCGCGGACACGAATCTCATCGAGAATTTGCGAAATCAACTAAAAGCACAGCTTAATAAGTATCAAAGTCCGTAATATCGAGTACATGAGCTGTGAAAGCAAACTAAGGATATACCTCCAGAGTTTTTACAAAGATACAAATAAGGTATGCCAAATCGCATCCAGGAACTGAAACAAGCAAAAGAGTACTGAACATTGTGTTAGTAGTTCTTTTTTTCCGTGAAGATTGTTAAAAAGTTCTTAAAAATATATGAGTGCAAAACTGTAACATCTGCCTTTATTTACATTTTTGTCTGCTGGTTTTTTTATTGTTGTTGCATTGACTTCAAATCATTCTGAGAGAGGGAGTAGGGATGTACCAACAAGAATATACAAAAAAATATGAAAGTCAAGTTAGAACTTGGAAAGATAGCGATGGTGAAGTAAAAAGTGTTACACCATGTTACAGTTTTGCACGTCACTGTATATACATTACGGTGCATCACTGTCCATACAAAAAAACATCGGTACTGGTTTTGCATCGCAATTATAAAATTTATTATATTTTAAGAATCCCCCAAAAAATTTAAGTGAGCTGAACTTGTTTGAAAATATCTCCAAATATCGAGTTTTAATAAATAAAATTCGTTTCTTCTCAAAAATCACCTCAGATTATAGAACACTTTACTCTTAAAAGGTCTGCATGAAAATGTTTAAAAATTTTATCCACGGAATCAAAATAATGAGAGGTTTGGAGGTGTTTTCCAATCAGTCTAGCTCACGCAAATCTTAATATTTTTCAGAAACATTTTGACGAAAGTCTTAAAAAATAAATAAATTTTATAATTTCGGCGGAAAAGCCTTTTTTTGGTTATGAACCCTATTGTACGTACATATTTGTATGTATAGGATTGCCAGATTTTTTATGCGGGTAATCAGTACGTTAGACTTTTTCGTGCTAAAAAAAAAATCAGTACTTTACTATTTTGGTATACATATAATTAAAACAAAGTTCTTAAAAAATAAAAATGTTATTCATATTAACATGAGTGTACACATCATTGTACACTAGGTGGTCCAAAAATGTACAGTCGGATATTTTATGTTCTCACCCCTTAGGATTGTTCTATACCGCAAAAACTATACCCCTGTTTTTTCTATTTTGAAATCCAATAATATTTAGAGGTCGCTCAAAGCGCCCAAATTTTCCATGTATTTTATATGGGAGAAATCAATAAAAAATCGTTAGTATTAAAAATGGTTAAATAAACAATTATTGAAAGTCTTCTGAAGACAACTAGAGTTTTTCGATAGAAAAATATTGATTTTCAAGAATTATATATCATATATCATTTCTACGAAAAGTTTTTTTCTTTCATATTAAAATACATGGAAAACTTTGAGCGCTTTGAGCGACCTCTAAATATTTTTTTGAATTGAAATTAAAAAATAGGGGTATACTTTTTTCGATATAGAACAATCCTAGGAGGACAGAGCATTACAATTCCGAATTCACTGTTTTTGGGCGACCCTATTGTACACATTTCAATAGCAATAATGAGATCATTTCCATTTTCAGTGTTTAAATAGTCAAAGAATTCTATTATTTCTAATTTTAAAGTTACTTTTAATTTGAAGTTCAGTTTCAAAAATTTTAATTAGAAGCCGGTTTCTCTCTTTGTGCATGGAAGCAAACCTTACACTTAAGATCCTCTCAGCTGCTTCGTTTGAGAGTATTGAAAAAAAAACTCAATTAAATATTTTTTTCAAACTGTGTAAGAATACCACTTTTTAAGGATTTCCTCTGTATTTCCTCATGGAAAGTCTAAGAATGTGCTAAAAAGAGTATCTAACTCTATGTCTTGTATGCAAAAATATTTTACAATGTCAGTAAATTGAGAAGAAAGAATAATTTTAAAGCTGAATTTACATGAGGCGATTCAACATTTCTCAAGAAAAATCGCTCG